AAATAGTCATAGCAGAAATGCGAATGAGAACAAGATTTAGAGTACGACCGAGAAGAATAGCAACAGTAATAGTACTGGAAACAGTATTCGTTTTTGCAATGATAACCATACTAATGCAAATACTAGTAATATTTACAACAAGACGAACGACAGCAACAATGAACCCACTAACCCCAATAATGCCAGCACGAATATTTTTATTGATACTGTACGAATACTTGTTCGAATACAATACGAGTACTGATATTTCATGACATGAACATTCTTAATTCATATTCGTTTTCATATTCGCGTTAATGCTAACGTGATTGTTCGTATGAGTATTCATTAAATTACATAAGAACGCTCATAGCAAGAGTAAGGATATTCACAAGAAGAGCAAGAATCCTATCTTTTGAGGTTCAGTGCTATATGAGGGCCCCCTGTTTTCTGAAAGTTCATAACATTCAAGAGGGCGTACGAGTCGACTTGAGTGGCAAGGCGAAGGCTTGGAAGGTTCAGACGGTGGAGTTCAGGCAATGCCCATTAAGGATGCTTCAGATATGGGAGTTTCCGACAATTAGGGTACCCTACTTTGGGGTCCTTATAATAAGGATCCTAAATTTAGGGTAATTACTATATTAGGGTCCCCTATTTTCGGAAACCCCTATATCGACAGAGCAGGTTTGTCCTTTCTACAACTAGCGCAGGGTGGGTTTCAACCTTGTTATGTGCGTCAGTGGGTCTGTTGCTTGGTGCAGTTTGGAGTTTGGAAGCTCAAACCCAGCCTGACCAGTCCCTGACCCTCAAAACATGCTAAGCGCAGCAGAAGCATCAGGTGCGACCGGATTGGGCTCCGAACGGTACCCGACGCTTTCTCGAGCTCGCCGCAGCAGGCGACGCAATGTCACCATAGTAGGCCATATTGTTTTCAGCCCTGGAAATTCGGGAAACTCGGGACAAGGGAAGCAGGACAAGCAGGAATAGCCAAGCTGCTTGTCTTCTTTGTCTCAGCTGGCCCTCCGAACATCAATCTGACGGAAGATCTCGAGACACAAGCCCTGCAGAGGTGACTTTGACGATCGAGCATTCTACCGAGCTGTGCCAACTTGAACCTCGCTTTGCTTAGAGTCTACGGTTTAGGGTTTCTGACAGCATAACTTGCGAGCTGACGAACACGTATAAGACTGACTGCCTGCTAGCAGTTTGTTTTTGGGGCACATTGCTGTCTTAGAAGCAAACCTGTGTCAGAGGATTGGTCTCTACAGAGGAGCTTACCCACTGAGAGGGAATAGTTCTATCCGCAACTACTTCAGCTGCATCGCTTTCTTGCCTTAGGGAGGCGTTTGGGTCTTGCATGCTCGTTCTTACATTGTGTCGACTTGCCTGCCTGGCATTCACCGACCTGCTCAGTCTCATAGAGACAGTTGGCTAGAATTCTAAACCCCAGGACTTATAAGCGAGGCCTGCAATGCAGGCCTCGTCCTTGCAAAGTAGGAGGGACAAAAAGCTCGCTTACTAGAAGCCCTAAAACCTATAAACTCTAAACCCTTAGACTGATGTTTGAGCCCTGGGGTTGTCCGCCCTTATTCTTGTCTCCCACCCAATACCTTATCCTAAACAGTCCCCTGACCCTCTTGAATGTGACCGACCTGGTTAAACAGCTATGCGGAGACAGAAAGAAGTCGTCAAATAGTTTAACTCTCTGCGTGCAGGATCTGTGTTAGGACTGGCCCTGTCTTTTTCTCTTTGTCATTCGTGCCAGTCCTTGTAGATTTCACTGCCCGACCTAAGTACACATGCCTCGCCAGGAATCGTCCGAGTTATGAACACCGAAACCCCTTACCCTAAGGATCCACAGTGGAACCTTTTTGGGCTTCATATTTAGGAGCCTATAATGTAATCCCCAAAAGGAACTACTCTAGAGCCTCTGGGTAGCCCTCAACCCTAAGCCCTAAACCCTAAACGCCGGGCTTCGGACCCTCATGTCATGCGGAGAAAGAGCTATTGCATCTTAAAAACAACCAAGGTATCGTTCAGTTTGGCTTGCCTCCCAAGCGCGACTTACCGGCCATCCCGGACCATGGCCTAAGCTTGCAGTCCGACATGTTAAGATTTGGTGCTTCGGGGCCTATAGGGGTTTAGGAGTTTGGGATGTATGAGTTTAGGATTTGGGACTTCAGGACTTACAGTAGGGGTTTAGGATTTATGGGTCTAGGATTTTGGGGCTTCAGGGCTTTCAGGATGTATGAGTTTAGGATTTTGGGGCTGGGGCTTCGGGTTTGAAGCCTGCACATGCTGTTCCATGAGCAGTCTAACTGTGACCCTATATCACCTAAGCGAGGCTTCTTCAGTGGCCACGGCTTCCGGTCCCAAGATCCTTCGTGAGTTCAGCCTGGTGTAGTTATCACGCAATCACTACTCCTGAACCCTCTGGACTCTATTGCAAGGCCGTGCTATTCATTGGTTGTCGTTGCATCATTCCTACGAGGCCCCACCAAGGATTGCGAATGGTTTTCCAATGACGTCATGAAATTTGTTTTTGTCTGCCCAATATACGCCGAAGCTCGGTGAAGGACGACCCTGCCACCGGCGTACCTTTCCTGCTGGGTGCCGTTGCTTTTGCCGCGGTTGGGGCGACTCGGCTAAGCAGGGAAGCATCACAACCACCATATCACATGGCGTCAAGACCTTAAGACTTTCAAGCTCCTCAGGCAAGATAATGCATGTAATATGCGCCTGTGGAACTTGGGTGCACCTGTCATGTTGGCACATGTTGCTAGTTTTGCTACTGAGCTGCTGAGCGCATCGCTGTGAACTTCAGGAAAACACTCGTCGGTCAACAATCTTCATCTGCACAGGCCCGATCTGTGGATCGTGCTTCTTTTTTTTCATGGTACAGGGTCTGCAGGAGATGCTAGGGCTGCTATGGTCACATCGACTGCATCATGCTGGTTAGAGTTTGGAGTGGCCGTCGGGGGGGATCTACCAGCTTCGACTTTGAGTGGTCCGAATGTAATAGGAACAGCAAAAGATATGGTTTCTGTGACTGCATTGCGAATGTAATCCGTGCCTCTTGCGCACCTCCCTTCGGACTATCGCAATGCAAGCACGGCAGGGTCTCACCAAACTCGGACCTCAGCGCCTCTAAGTAAGTTAGGCTTACTTATACTGGGTTCTTGTTAAGGAAGTTTGTTTAAGTTACCGCAATTAAGAAGCCATACTGTTTGCTATAGATCGCTATCATGGCAACTTGAATTAACTTCCTTAGCAAGAACCCGGTGTAAGGGTTATCCTATACTTGCTGGTACTGTACCTACGGGTGACCTCCGGGAAGGGTATGTGAAGCCAGGCGACATGTCTCACTGCCTGGGCCGAGAGTCTTGGGACCCTTGGCACGCACTCGCTCTTAGATAGCCAATGGGGGAACTTTAAACTTTTTGGCCTTATATATTTGGTCTATCTTAGAAAGTTTAAACTTTTTTGGGCTCGGTTATTGAAGGAGAGAGAGTTTGGAAGCATTATATTATGGAGGCCTAAATAGTTACCAATGTCTGTTCTGTTCTTCATAGGGTTCCTGATTATAGGTATTCGAGTATACCGTCAAACCCTACTTTTAACTATTGAGACCCCTATAGTTGCGAATTAGAATTTCGGGTTTAGGAGTTAGGGTTTGGGTCCAGGTGTCCTGCAATCGCAACTGGGTTTTCAAAAAAAGTCGCGTTTAAACTGGGTGTACTATATCCTAGAGAACGCAGCGATCAGGACATTACAGTACATGCATACTGAATGAGATAACAAGTAACTCGGACCTCAAAGTAGACCAACGTCGCAGCGACAATATGGCACAATGTTTTCTGAAGCCGCCAGAACGCGGATAAAGTAGCCAGGCCTTGAATCCGAGAATCTAGACCATACCCCCAAACCCTAAACCGTGGCATACCCTAGACTCCGAGCAACCAGGCCCCTTTCTGCCCCCTTGCCTTGCCCTTTGCCTAACTCCCCAGGTCCAGTCGTACAAAAAGCCCTGACGCCCTGAGGCTCTAGGCAAAAACTAAACATCCCGAAAAAACCGCTGACCCCCCAAATCCAAGGCTTTGTAGAGGTGTAGACCCGCGGTCGGGATTCCGTCGCAGTGCTTAATATTTACAGGGGAGGGCCTTGGGCGATCCGCAAAAAAAGATGCTGAGGGATTCAAGCTGGCATCCAGAACAGTCTAGAGTTGTTGCAGTCGTTGACGCCGGATTACGCCACTTCAAGCCCGGACAAAATCAAGTCCCTGGCGAAGTCCAAACACTTAGGAGACGCCTATCGGGGCCGTTGCTGAATCCTCATTGGATGTTCTGGACAGCCCTGCCCTGCTGTCGTCAGGTTTCAGTGGATTCATAGGCACATGCATGTTTTCATGTAAATGCAGTCTATGCCTGTGAGCGTGTGTGCGCACATGTTCTGTGTGGGTAGCGCAACCGCTAGAACCCCTGGCTAAATTCCTAAGCTGTTTTGTTGCGGAGTTCTTTGGGAAAGGATACCCAGGAGGCCGAGAGGCCTAGCTGGCATGGGAAGCCAAGTGCTGTTCGACTGCGCGGCTGCTATGGCTCTGCAGTTGAGGTTTGGGGTCACTGTAAGGAGCCGTCAGAGATCCTCAAACCCAATCCTCAAACCCAGATAACAGTCCTTTCAGACTCCCAGCAGCCCCACGGAGCCCTCATTGCTTAAATCTTCTTAGACCCGGATAAACCCTGGAATCCCAGATAGCCAATAGCGCATGCCAGCTACACAACGTCGGCAGTCAAGTTCTGCATCCTAGGTGTGTAAGGAAAGTCCGAAAGCCCCCTCGTCCAAAAGTGCATCGTAAGAAGGGACCCGCATAGTAGCGCTCGTGAGGGCCTCGGGTATACGATGTAAGGGGCATCAGCCTGATGAGCCCTAGGACCAGGTGTACTCATATAAAGATCTTCTCAGTGGTGCCTGCCAAGCTTTTCCCGCACCGCCGACGCACATGGGCATGCCAGCGACAGCGCATGAGCTTTTTGGCATGGCTGGTAGCTGAGCTGCACAAATGCCAACACTGCAGTGCAAGGGGATTGTTTTTCTTGTTGAGGAAAGAGTCAAAAAGTTTCATGCGTTCTATCAAGCCCCTGCGTTCACCTCAGAAAGCTCCACACATAACAGACACAGCGACAGGATAGCATAGGGCAGACGAGAACCGGCGACAGGGAAGTAGAGCTCCGGGTTCAAAGGAAAATTACTGAGGAGTTTAGGCTTCCACTTTCAGATTCTGGCATCCCCCTTCCCTGACCCAAACCCCAAACCCAAGCACCCTCAACCGAAGGACCTCACACCGAAGCTGTCGCAGGTGGCAGTTGCAGCCTCCGAAGCGCAGCCGCAGGGAGGCGTGTCAACGTTGAGCTTGTTTTTGCCTGGTACGCCGTCCTCGGGTGGTAGGCAGGGTGTGGGGTCATGCGGCTGATGATATACATCCTGCATTACCTTAAGGCCCCTAAACTATGGGAACTATATGGTCTATTCAAGCATATTCCGTAGTATGGGTAATGCAGGGTTTACATCATCAACCGTAGGTGTCCGATAGGCGTCTCAGATGGCTGGAGTTCGGTGTTTACCGCCGCTTCCAGGCTTTGGGCCTCGGACTCTACCAGTCTTCGTAGGCTCGTAGCACGCTTTGCTGTTTTGGGTTTAAAGGGAACTCCAGAAAGTTGGAATATGGATTAATGGTAGGATCCCCTATAATTTACCATAAAGGGCTTAGGATAATGATATTCCAACTTTCTGGCTTCTACTGTAGGGTGCTTTGCTGTGGTTTGTTGAAGTCACTCTTACAGCATGTCACCCTCAACCGCTAAACCCCAAACCCGGCGTTGATTGTCGTAGAGTGGTTGTGCACCCGAAAACACAGACCTCGTCTGGCAAGTCCGAGTTGCGAGAGCGTTTAGATTTTCGAGTCTTCAGCGTCTCACCGAAAGAGGTCAGCGTTCCTTTGACCAAGATTTTGCAAGAAGGGACAAAGCCTCAGATGCCTTCTTACTATATTATTATTTATTTATTATCATTATTATTATTACTATACTATAATTAGTATTGTCATGCCTTCTGCTCAGAGCTCTGCGCTGGGAGGCCCGCAGCTTTGCTCGCTGCGGCCGCCGCTGCCCAGGCTGACTGGAAGCTTGGCTGTGTGAGTTAGGGTTTAGGGTTTAGGGACCCTGAACCCTATAGGACCATGTGGAGCCTTGCCTGCTGCGTGCGAGTGTGAGCGTCGAAACCCTAGGGTTTAGGGTTTATAGGGCTTAGGGCAAAAACAGGGGGATGGGGTATAGTGCTGGTATATCGAGCGTCCATATACCCTTGGCCTGCCGATTCTCTTGGAACGGAATTGTTGTCAGCTTCTGGGAGAAGCATGTCGCCAGCCTCAGGCCCCGAAACCATCAAGCTCTTGCCCAAAGCTTATGCCGTTTCGTCCCGATAAGTCCAACATATGGGTGGTTGTCAAAACTATGGTCCCTTTTTGGGTCCTTACCATAGTACGGCACCTAATATTTAGGGTACCCAAAAAGGGACCCTAATTTTGACAACCACCCATATAGATGCTCACCCAACTGACATCCAAGATGAGCAGACGCAGCGATTAGACCGCCGGGCTGCTTCTGCAGAGACATCCTCCAGCATCTGCCAGCAGGCCAGGGGTCTCTTAGTAGGGAATGGGGGAATGGATTATGGAGACTCCTGTTGGGGATTTTCTAGGGACTACTGTAGGGATCCATTCCCCCATCCCTACTTAGCACCAGCCAGAAGTTCTAGAAATGGATTTTTTAGCACATGTGCGTAGGTCAGTCAGTCAGTCAGCCAGTGTCGGTGACAGTGTCAGTCAGTGAGTTAGTCAGTCGGCCAGTGAGTCAGTACTTCAGTCGCCAAGCTGGGCTTTGATAATGTTGTTTTCCGCAGTACAGAGTTACAGTGGAGCTTAAAGCGGGGACTTCTCGTTTGAGGTCAGGGATTTGTATCGCGTTGCAGGCAGACTCCTGGAACTTCGTGGAGGCCACAGCTGAGAGGCTCCGGAAAGCAACCAGTTGTTGGTTTAGGTGGTACTTGACATGTCGGGGTTTCGGATTTGACATTTTAACACCCCGCAGCGCCCCACACCCTTCATGTGGTGGCAGCCTGTAGTTTGAGGCACGCTCGCAGTATCAAGCCCTATATTCGGCTCAGAATTGTGGAGAATTCCTGTGCTAGTTGAGCTCCTTGGCCGTTCATGGTGTCGCTGCTTGCCAGGATTATTTGGGAAGGAAGGCTGTTCAATTCCAACCTCGATGAGGCCGACCGGGGACCTGGACGGAGTTCTGACATAGCAAGTCTGAAGGTTGAAGTCTTCGTAGCCATACTCCCGGAGTCATCATACTTGCAAGGATGGCAGATAGGTCACCTTGGTGTGGGAATTCCTTCGGCTGAGTGCCCAGCTAGTAGGTTTGCAAAACACGTATTCGGCCACTCCGGCATGCTCTGGGAAAACATGGGTGTACTTCTTTGGAATCCGAACCTCGGAAAACAGATCGACGCGAGCATGCTAGACTCTGCTAGACTCCTACTTGAAGGATCATGGGGCGTAATAACTGGATTATACAGTCATGTAACTATACTTATAACCACTTATAAGCCCACTCGAGGTACTTGTAACCTGACTTGCTAAGTCCCATGATCCTCCAAGCTCTTGGAGACCCGCATTCTGCACTGACGACCCTTTGCTTTGCCAAATGTGTTGGACCTCAGGAGCAAGTTCTGCAGCGTGCCACTTCAACCTACGAGGACTGGCATGCCTTCTTTACTGTCCCAGGCTGAAAGGCGTCGCGAAGCAAGAAATGTTGCCTACATTCGAGCAGCACTGACAGCTCTAAAGGTTCTTGCCCAAATTGACACCATATAGTGCTGGTTCGAAGAGAGAAACACCTCCTGTAGCCTCAGGTGCTGCGATTCTGAAGACAGAACCCCCTGAAGCTAAGCTCAAGTCTTGTGCCCCCAACCCGCCCCCTGCCCGCCGCGACATTAGTCGACCGAGAAAAGGTCATCCGTCTTGGGTCGACGAGATGGTATACGAGTGTTACGTAGAGATCTCACATTTACTAGTATTGTAAAACGTCAGTACAAATTCTACTGTACAAAAAGAGTATTGGTCGGTTGTAGGGTTTAAAGTTTAGAGGGGTTCAGGGTGTTCTGGAGGGGTTCAGGAAGGTTAACGGAGACATTTGGGCTTGGAGGTTTGATAGTGATCCAGCGGTAAAATTTCATAAACTACAGTTGGATATTTGGAGGTGTATCAAACAAAAAGGACCATTGAAGAGGACACCTCCAAAAGGGCTTGTGCCGACTAAAACCCCCGAAAGAGGATCACCTCATTAGAGCCAGTGCTCAATGAGCCCCTCGATTCTGAGCTTTGGAGTTGCCGTTGCATGACGTGCCAGATATTCGCACTCGAGGATGGGCTGACCGCCCATCGCTGAATGAATCCCAACCTTCGAATCAACCATGCACCGTAAGCATCCACGTACCATCCAGCGCGTGAGGAATGTCCTGGTGCTTTGCCCCTAGTCTCGCAATAGTGGGGCACAGGTCTCCATAAGTGCTGGGATTTCGTTCTTCGAGTCGTACCCTTTGTGACGTCATCATCGAAGCTTCCAGATGTCCGAAGTGCGCGATGTTTTGGGCACATGCGTAAATGTACTGCAGGTAGGTTCCGATCAGGGACGCGAGGCACTACACACAGTGAGCGCCGCACCAACGAGTTGCCAGCGTGGAGGCGAACAAAAAGGCTACTCCGCCTCGTAAACCGTATGGAATTATGGAACCTCATGATTTCGGAGCCGCACCAAGTGAAGAAAGCCTGTAGGGGCATTACAACGACCGGTTTGATTTTTTCACAACCCCCATCATAGAATTCATTGGCGGCCCCTACAGTACTAAGAAAGTTGTTTATGGTAGGTCAGGCTAGCTGAACAGTTTCTTCGGAGCTTCATTCGAGGCTCTTGGCACTTCTCGCCTGCGCGGCGCGTGCAGCAGCTGCCCGAAGTTTGGCCATGCTAGACAGCTGGGAAGATGCCTTTGCGGCTTCTCGGCTGTGGAATGGTTTTTGTTGCAGGTTTCTGATGAGTCAACTACTGTTCCATTACTTCTACCTTTGCTACGTCCCCTGATCGGGAAGCCGGTTTTTCGGTATTTATGCGTTGTGGTGGCCTGTTGATAAGTGTGCTGCTCGGGGCGCGCCCGTCTGAGGGTGCAGGCTGAATGAGTTTCCAAGCCATGACATGAGATAGATGTTCCGCATGTGCCTAGCATTGCAATATGAGCCCTTTGACTTTGCGTTCCTTATCTACTTGACTACTGCCGATGCATCTTACACTACTACGGACACATCAAGGCCTTCTCAAGTCTACCTGCGCGCGTGCCAGGCCTGGAACAGCCTTCCGTGGACCAAGCCTTTGGCATGGCACAACCTGCAGGCAAGTGGATTCTACTGCTCCATGAATCCCACACCCCGAGTCCAAATTTTTTGGCCGCCCTCGTTACTGTCGTCCGGCACCTGTTGCTAAGCAAAACGCGAACCACTGAGCTCCATGTACCTCCGAACACTGTTGCAGCCTCCGGGAGTGCAAAGATCAGCCTCACAGAGCAGAGAAGCATCTTCAGACTTTGATGCCCCAGAATGTCAGATGTGATCATGATACATGTCAATTCTTGATCACGCATGTGAGGACCCGAGTGGTGCAGGTTCGTGGATGCACCCAACATGTCCAGGATCCTCTTGTTCGCCCAGCTCTCTATGCAGCGGTGTCCCAGACAAAGGCGCCTTAATATAGGGGCCTAAATAATTACCAATACTTTTTCGGTGGTTCCTGAATATGATTTATGGTAGAATGGGACCAAAAACACCATTCAATTTATTGCGGCCCCTATATTAACTGCATTTGGGGAGAGACTGGCAGGGTCTACACCAGGTTCATCCGTTGCTGGAGAGGTTAGCCTGCGAGTGTGCCTGGTGCACGTAGGTCTAGATTCTAGATTGCATGCTGGCTGCGAGCAAATACCGCCAGCAATTTGCAAAGACTTTCACGAGTTATTTTGCGGGATTTTTGCTGTCGGACTCTGGAAGGTGTTGAGGGCGTGCCTCACACGTCCGGAGGACATTTGCAGCAAGGCCGGTCGTGTGCATGGGACATAATGGGGCAGGAGACGATCACCCCGGCTAGCCCTAACCTTGCAGTCACAGTAGAACTAGGTGCAATAAAGCCTGTCATCATCGTTGGCATCAGTGTTGCAGTCACTTTGATGTCTTTTACCTACCAGCAACGGTGATCATCATGATCATCACCATCGTCAGACTCATTGATTTCCTTTTCTGAGCACACTAATCAGTTGTACTGTATAGTGTAGGCATCGCAGGTGGTGATGATCGTAATGCAGCATTTGGAGCATGCAGCGGGCATGCCCTGGGCTCAGTGTTCGAACCCGCTGTCGTTTGGGACACGCACTATGACGAGATGTAGAGTGGGGTTGGGAAGATTGTTCCGAAGCTTGTCGGTTTTACGAGGTTTTCCGCTGCTGAGACAGCATGTGAGGATTTAGCTTCCTATCTTTGATTCTGTGGCAGTCGGCATGGTTCGATGCAACGAATTAATTATTTGGGTTGGAATTATCCCCTCCCGCCGCCCCCCCCCCACCACAAAGCTGCATCGGTCACGGCTTCCTGAGGTCATTGACGGTGTCGAGGGAGGCTTTTAGTAACCTCCCTGGCCATTCGCAGCTTTCGCAGTCGCTCCTTGCACCTTTGCTTGAAGTATTGTAAACAACAGGGCATCCATTGTCCTGCCGTTTGTTGTGTCACTTTCGAGCTGCAATCTTTCCGACGTTGCTATCAGAGTCAAAGCTTGAAAACTCTGCAACAGCCATCTGACATCCATGTTTTGCCCGAAGTCCCGGGACCTGTTGTAGCAGCGCGAGATGTATGACAAGGTCTTGACGAACTATGCCCACCTGCTTACCGCCACTGACCTCTGTTCAGGGGCCAGGCTACTGGCACACCTCTTCACAGCCAGAAGGCCGTCTGAAGGCAAACAGACAAGGCTTCAGGTCTCCACGTCTCCCCACGGAGGTCCACAAGCCTTAGCCGAATGTTTATGTCTATTTCTCGTGCTGTCAATATTGTTATTTTTGATTGGTATAAGCCCTTACATTTTGCCTCTGCTGGACTACGGTTACTTTTCTGTAATGACGGCAGCTGTTTCTTTAGACCGCATGTTCTGCAGCTCGAGCTCTGGACATGAACTCAGTTCTCTAAACCTTAAACCCTAAATCCTAATGTGCCTCGCCTGGATTGTCCGAGTGTGAGTGCGGAAACCCTATATATAATATGCCATGCCCACAGATTCGCACCCCGGTGACGACTGCAGCTCTTTTTCTGCACCCTTCCATTCATCTTGAGTTTCAGTGAAAGTAGAACTCTGCCGAATGAGTTCGATGCCTACTTACAAGAACTTACTGACTTATTGCTGCTTCCGTCCTGTCCATCTCACTGTGAGCACTGCGACAGGCTTATCGACCTTGTCCCTGACATCGGTGAGCAGCACGCTACTCGGCCTGAACCGGATCACTTCGGCTCATAAAGTGGCAAAAGTCGCACAGACCTCGGCAATGTTTTTCTGAAAGGAATGCCTTGAGCCTCCACTTCAAGTATGGTCTAGGTATAATGATACTCTTAGAGCGTGGAGGGTGGCTGCTGATGCCTCGTCCCAGGTTTGAAGGCCCCAAGCCGTAATGTCATCAGAACCGGAGATGTCAAACCGGCAGGTAGAGGGAGAGTTAGCTTTAATTGCGAAGGTGGCGGAGGCCCAGCTTCTCATAGAGAAGCTCCACACGCAGCTAGGCATTGACTGAGACGTTCTCTAGGGTTTGATGCGCCGGGCATGGTCCTAGACAATATAATGGTATCGAGGGCAAGGTAGTAGCAATCCACACCGCCGGTGCCCACGGTCTTCGACAAAGGAATGGCACCCTCTACGGGGACTTTGCTGGTGCTTGCAATTCGCTCAGAGACTCGTCCTGCATTGCATCGCAGTGGCAGGAACTTTGTCCGGGCACTGTCTCCCCTATTCTGCAACTGGATCTGTCGTACAGTTCTGTGCCGGAACAAGTTCATGCAAAGATTAAAGCCACGCAAGAAAATCGCAGCTCTGACAAAAAGCTGGTCGGTAATGGTGCTTCCTGCACGAGATGGAGAAAGAGAAAACGCGAAGAACTTAGTCTTCATGTGCAGATCTCCATGAGGACCCGGTTCCATGCAAGCCTTTGTAGTAGCATACTGCGAGCTTATCTTCATCTGGCAGAAGACACTCAGCACTGGTGTGTGTACATGTAGCATGTACACTCATACACAGAAGCACAGGCAACGCAAGAGAGATGTGCGCAGGCGAACAGACGAACGACATGCAGGCGTGCCGTCAGCAGTGAGGAATGAGACACACAGAGACATTCGTACCCAGCTGGGGAAGGAGAGGCAGATTATGACAGAGCCAGATACAGATGAAGAGACAGACCGAAAGAGACCACCTAGTGATCATTCAAACCGCAGCCCGGATTGCACAGCTTTCAAGCAGAGGCAAAGCCATAAACCGTTGAATTAGACCTCAACCGACACGAAGGCATGCCTGCCCAGAGCGAGTGTGTGAGTCGAAACCCTACAAGCCGTACAGTAAGCCCTAAGCCCTATGCCCAAAATCCGACATGCCCTAAACTCAACAACCCGATACCCCTACAAGCCCCCAGCCCTAATCAGACCTGAGCCCTACACAAGCCCTAAACCCTAATAAACCCTAGCAGCCCTAAGCCCCAATAAGCCCTACAAGCCCTCAACGCCAATACCAATAAATCCTAGAAGCCCCAAACCCTCATAAACCCTAGAAGCCCTAAACCCCAAAAGAATCCTACCTAGAAGCCCTAATACGCCCTACAAAAGGCAATCGATTGCGAGAACCCCCGAGGTAGAGACCTAGAAGTCCACCGGCGCTGGCTGAAGGCCGAACCTTCGTTGCCAGAGCTGCCACAGGCGGCGTGTGGGGCCCCGTTTAGGATACTATGAAGGGCCTCAAGAATTACCGATACTATTTTGGGGATTCCTTATTTCATTTCTAGTAGTCTAATTGTTACAAGGCCCTTACATTCGGATGGATAGGGTTTAGGGTGGGCTATGGTTGGCTCTTGGGTTTAGGGTTTAGGGATGTTGCCCCCGGAGGACCTGTTTCTTGTTGTCACAAGCCTTGCCTGCCAGAATTCCAAGAAAAACCTACGGGATGAGCTGTCTCTGGCTGGCACACATATGGGAGTTTCCGAAAATTAGGGGTACCTTCTGTCGGGGTCCTTCTAATAAGGATCCTACTATTTAGGGTACTACATTAAGGTCCCCTATTTTCGGAGACTCCCACCCTTTTTGTGGGGCTGCGCGTTGGTTCATGAATGGGGCGATAGAACGCTGCCCCTGTCATGTAATCGTTGTCAACGACGAGGGTCGGGTTGTATGCATGCTTTCTGCATTATCGGATGTTGGTATACTGCATGTGGGTGAGGGAGATGGCTGAAGTGTTTCGTTTTGAAGCCGTATAGTGCGAAAGCCAACATGTGAGCATGATATAGAGTTCTGGCCGCGGCTTATTAGCACTTTGCAAGTCTGGAAGGCTCCAACATAATGTGAACGAAACCCCATCAACTTCTAGACGCCAAGCCCTCAAACGGAAAACCCTAAGCCGTGCCAAACCATTGTTGCCTTCACCTGCTTTCGCCTGATGGACTCAACACTCATCCCCTAAACCCTAAAGCCCTTGGCTACGGCTCAAGCGCTTCACACACGGTCAGAAAACACTGCCGCAGTGGGTTCTGGCACGATTGGCTCGGAGTGATCATGGCTCCGAAGCAACTGTTCGGAACAACAGCCTTGCGCCAACGGCTGGAGGAGGCCACCGCAGAACTGCGAGCCGAGACAGCGGCTGCAGAGATCAACAACGCGTCATTGACGGAAGAGCTCGCCGCCTCGAGAGCGCGCGGGTATGTGGGAGCCAGCAGGGCCGCTCACGCCGCCGTTGCGACCTTGGAAGAGTTCGCACAGGTGCAGTATGCAGAAGTTCGTGGTGCGGAGATCACGCTTGCTCAGGCGACTGCTGAAGGCGCCGAGGAAGTTGCGGAGTGGCAAGCGTCTGTCGCTGCGGGCCGCCACATGAGCGAAGTCAATGCGGCCGCGCTCGGCGCGCTGGAGGCAAGCGACGCCAACCTCGCCCTCGGCACTGTGGAGAGCGCCGCCGAGGCGGGGAGGCACACCGCGAACGCGGACCTGGGCGGTCTCACGTATGGGATGTCGCCGGGAGAGCAGCCGATAGTGTTCCTCGATGGGCTGCCCTGGTCGTGGGTTCTGTGCACGGAACTGGCCCAAAATACCAGGAAGCACATCATGAACACACCAGGGTTCAACATGGTGCCCGTGGGTCGCCGCTCACACGTCTGCGCCGTCGCCACGACACAGAACTTGAAGCTTTGCTTGCAAAGTCTGTCGAACCTCGTGGCGTGCTGCACAGGAAGCGCGGAAGTCTGGGAGACTGTCCCGCTGACAATCGCCGATGGAGCAACAGCACCGACAGGCACGACCCTGGCAGAGTACGTGCGCCCTGGAACGGCTGCGAAGGCGACGGCGGCCGGACTGTCAAGCGCACCGCCGGCAGGTGTGACGGAGAGCGACCGCGACTGGGAGTTGACAGTGAAGATCTTGTCGTCGGGGACACCTGGTGTGTCAGCGCAGGCCTGGGCCGGTTCGGCAGCGATCTACAACCTGGCCGGCTACCTCAACCGCAGCCTGGCAGCGCACACGTCGGGCTGGGACGTCTTTTCGACCACGAAAGCCGATCGGGAAAAGCTCGCGTGGCGCTTGACAGCGTATGGGGTCGCCAACCTCTCGCCAGGCGAAGCGCTGGCCGACATGGTGGAAAAAGATCATGGGCACGGTGGCGGCTAAAATTGGCCCCATGACAGCCAATGTCCAGTCCACCATGCAGTCGGTGGACCAGGGCTTCAAGGACCAAGGCAAGCTCTTGTCGACCATCGCGAACATGTACGTGGAGGCCGTGAAGACTCTGCACAGGAAGCCAAGGAGCGCCACACGGAAATGGGGAGCTGGCTCAGCTCTACGGAAGCCAAGCTCGTGGACGGCATAAAGGAGGTGTTGAAAAAGATCACCAATACCGATTTCAACTCCTCGCAGGTCTATGCCTCCAAACTGGAAGGGTTGGCCAACGAACTGCTGGCTGCTGAACACTTCACGCAGGCAGAGGTCACGGAGATCAAGAATGCAGTGGCACGGACGGGGGAGGAAGTCCACGCAATCCGCGAGATGTGTGAAAGACCCCTCACCACGCAGACTCCGCCGCCACAGTATCGAGCCCCGACCTTTTCCCAAGGTCCACATGAACGCCCGCCACCGAGTTATGATGCGCAGGCACATGCTGGCCCTCGTTCCGTCAATCTCCAGGCCGCTCTGCCTATGCCGAGCATTCCAGGAGAAGGCGGCATCACTATGAATCCGGACGGACGCAGCATCAACATCCCGCTGCGGTAAATCTCTGATTCAGTGCCATGCATGCTTTCAGGCGCGACTCTGTTTCGACTCTCTACTTTGATGCATTAGCAGTATTGCCAGCCTTTGCTTCCGACACTGTCGCCTTTGCATGCTGGACTGGAATTCATGCCGGACTTTACTTTGCAGGACTTTGAATTTGTTGCATTCTGTATCTCGGATGCGGATTTACCGTAATGTTGATACCGCCGGGCAACATGCACGCCCCTTGCACTGTTCACCTTTAATTGTCCTGCATGTGCTCCTGTTTGCATGTTTCAGTGCATGTGTGCACGAGCCCTTGCGACTACAGGACGGGTCCCTCGGACAAAACAATCCGAGTGACGGCAACACTGCGACATGTTTATCCCTAATATCTCAGCCCTCACACCTTCGCTGTGCTCTAGTGTGCGGCTCAGTGCAGCTTCGTAGTCATGTGGCCCCGTGGATTCCTGGTCCCCACCAGGGAGGTCATCTCTCTGACCCCTACAGTAACCAACATTATCTACATTGATGATGATGATGATGATGGGACGACTGCCAACGCTCTACCTCCTCATGCACCCCCACTACCAGAACAGGGGTCTACTGAGTTGCATTGTAAGTATGCTGCAACTAACATCGCCAGAGTACCTACGGAGCCTTGGTACCTAGCATGTCATGATTTCCATTCCTGTCCTTTGCTTCGCAACATTGAAATCCGTGCATACCAGCTTCTCATGGATTCCTCTCCACCCTCAAGACAAGACATTTTGGAATTGGTTTGCATGTTACCAAGATCCTCGCTCCGCCCCACACAGTCTGGCTTTCATGTTGTTAGTGGTGTCTCCCCCAGAACTCCGGATACAGGACTCACCCACAGTAGCGAAATGCCCTTTATGAGCATGGCGGTCAATAAATTTATGGCTGTAACCTGCCCTACGCACCTGTACTCCACTTTTGTCATCAGACGTGGATGTGTGGAAACCGTACACAGAGATTCCCGTAACGGACCTTTCCCTAGTTCGGTTTTGACCCTCACCCCATGTGCTAGCGATGCAGGTTTATGGGTTCAGGATCCCGCGGGCCCAACTCCCATGCTCTTCAGGGGACACCGACTGTGGGGCACAGTGAAGAACTTAGATGTCCCCTACATCTTCAACGCCCGTTGTAGACTCCACGCAGGCTTCCTTGGAGCCCACACTAAGGCGGATGATAGAGTTTCATTGGTCACCTTCACTTCGATTCATTGTTGTTCTCTGTCAGAAGAAGTGAGGGGTGCCTTATTGAGACTTGGCTTCCCGATCCCCAGCCCAAACGCGGTACATCGAGCACTGTTTGGAAACGGATGCTGCTCCCTCCCAAGATTTAAACAGGTCACCTTACAAGAAGCCTTGTCCTTGCCGGCAACAACGGTAGACCAACATGACGTCATTGAAGTTTTGGAAAGCCAGGAAACCGATGCCCTTTAGGTTCAAACCTATCAGCTCTAGGTCCCACCTCCCGTGTAAGATGGCGCTGGTGGTTGATCATGATGGGTTGACGGTGAACCAACCTGCACACCTTAGGCCGTTCACGCCTTTTACGGCACAGGAACTAACGGATCATTTGGAGTGCATGCCGCCTTACCTTGCTTCCTGGGTTGCCAAAGAATTCAGGGACATTATCCGGGGCAGCCGTACCGCTTGGTGGTGGTATTATACTCGTCTACCTACTTTGCAGTTCTATCTTGAATCCATCGACAGAGTCTTATCCATGTACCCTGACACCACTAACGAGGAACCCCTACCACTTTGGGCTTGGGATAATGACAGTGATTTCGTCCGTTTATGTGTGATAGATGGTTGGGGACGCCTAGATTGTACAGCTGAGTCCTTGGTGTATTTCGGTCTTCATACACACTTACCCTGTTTCGGCCTCATTCTGAGTCCTGCGCCCATTGAGGGTTTATGGGAATAATCGTGCCTGCCGCATTAGTCTGCATTGGTCTGCATTGGTCAGCACTAGTCGGCAAGAGTAACTTGGCAACTTGGCTGCAAGTTCGCACGTGCCTGCAACTCGGACAGAATTCAGAATTCAGAATTTGTTTTCCTTTGCACCTTGGTTTGCAACAAGTTAATTCCTCCCTTGCCATGAACTTGAATTTGTTTACACTTTGCCGGACTGTGTGCCTTACTGTACTGCCTTTAACCTTATCCTTGCCTTGCTTCCTGCTGATGATGCGATGAATTTGTTGCGATGCCCTCACTGATATCCCACACTTCCCAAATCTCCCCCTGTTAAGCTTCCCATAACCTGTAAACTCAGCCTTCGTGGCTTCTAGTGTCCCAGCCTACCTCCCGATAGGCAAACCACTAACCCGCGACCTCGCTGCACAGCTATGGCACCATGTTTCCGATAAGCTGCTTCGCCCTGGAAACATGCGCGCTTCTCTTCGGCTGACTGCTGGCAAGTCTCGCACACCAACTGCTACAGATGTGGTCCGTGCTTCTGGCGCCCTAGCTGGCTCGAGATGAGTGAAGTTATTAGCCTGACTGTACGACCCAGAACCTCGTCAGGCAGTGTCGGAGTTGCGAGAGTGTAAACATTGGCCCCGTATCGCTGGTGAAACCTTCACTGGCCCTGATCCTACATGTTGCACCCGGCTTTGGGTCTGCAGATCCTGCAAAGTGCACTACTGCTCTTTGGACGCGGTGTTCTCACAGATTTTGTCCGGAAGCCGATGTTGCACGACCAACAGAACACCCGGACTGCGTGACCTTGGGGTCCCTACTCAACAAGAGAGCCAGGTCTACAACTGGACAGCTCCACTTCAGTTCGGTCTATTTCGGAAACGGCGCGGAGAGTCGGGTCCATGTATCTGTCTCGGATAGGTGGATGGTGCACCTTCGCGCCTGGTAAATAGACACAACGGCAGTGACTTTCCTGTATGGCTTTCTCATCGTGCACGTGTACTGAACCGCCTTGAGCTGACATAGTTTCTGTGTACTCTATTCCGCACCGCCCTGAGCCGCCGTAGTTCCTTTGTACTATAGTGCTGTATCCCATATGTACCGATCTTCGGATTACATGTCTCGGCTAAGCCGTAGACGGTACGCTGAGATCAAGAAGATCTCTCTTTTCGGAGGGGGTTGTCCTGCGTGGTACTACCTTCTGTTGAAGCTGTTTTCTGAAGAGTTTCCCCCTCTGCATTGCTGTGTCCTCAATGTAGGATACTGGTCTTCGGCTTTGCTCATCTCCTGTACTCTATGGCTCTAACTTCTGTTGCCTTGTTTTCACTAAAGAGTTGAGTGAAGCTCTTAGTCTGACTGTGCGCACCAAGAACCTCGTCTGGCAGTGTCCGAGTTGCGAGAGCGTAAAGCCCTAAAGCCCCGAAGACCCTAAACCCACAGCCCCTAAGCCCCGAATCCCCTAAATCCCCTAATCCCTTTATACCCCTAAACCCCCTATGGATCCCTAAGCCCCCAACCCCTAAGCCCCTAAACCCCGAAGCCCCTAAATAACCCCTAAACTCCTAAAATCTCCTAAACCCCCTAAACCCCTAAAGTCCCTAAGCCCCTAACCCCCTAAACCCCCAAGCCCCTAAAGTCCCTAAACCCCCTAAACCCCTAAACCCTCAAAACCCCTAAAAGTCCCCAAAGCCGCTACCCCCTTAAACCACCTTCGTCCTTGCTAGGTAGGAGGGAAAAAAACCTAAGTCCCCAAAGCATCGTCAGGTCGCCCGGGGCATGGAGGAGCTCTTGCTCTGGGAGCGAGGCTTGGCCCCCGTCTTCTCCGAGTCCCAGAAAGACCTGGCACCTTTGGCCTGATAAATAGGGTTCCTTTGAAGGGTTCTTTATTATAAAGGTAGAATTATAGTCATTTTGAAGGGTTCTTTATTACAAAGGTAGAATTATAGTCATAGTATACTGGAATTCTAATAAGGAACCCTCAAAATAGCATCTTGGCGCCTGAGTTCGGTAGGGGCCTTGATAATTAGAATGGGGTTCCTTTCAAGGGTTCTTTATACAGGTAGAATTATAGTATACTAGAATTGTAATAAGGAGCCCTCAAAATGGCATCTTGGGCCTTAGTTCGGTAGGGGCCTTAATAATTAGAATAGGGTTTGGCGGCCTTATGTGCATCTTGGGCCTCAGTTTGGTTGGAGGTTTACAGGGTTTAGGGCTTAGGGTTTAGGGTTCTGGGTTTTAGGGTTTAGGGTTTAACGTAGCCGCCTTAATAGTTGGAATAGGGTTCCTTCAAAGGGCTCTATATAGGGGTTACTACGAGGGATCTATATGGTTGGTATAATATAGGGGCCTTAATAATTAGAATAGGGTTTTGGGCCCATCATACTAGAATTATAATCAGGAACCCTCAACATAGTATAGGTAACTACATCTGCTCCTACAGTAGCTTGGGATAACAGGGTTTTGGGGCTAGGGGTTTAGGGTTACGGTTGTGGGTTTAGGGTTCAGGGCCCTGGTGTGTGGTTCGGCTTGTGGGTTTAGGGTTATGAGGGCAAGGAAGGGATGGAAGCGCCGCCATACAGCGACAGCTTTTAAAATGGTTTTAAGGGTGTAGTACAGCCACCATGCAACAACAGCGCTTAACGGTTTAAGGGTGTAGTAGAGTTGAAAGTATTGTGAAAAGGGTTTCAAGGATGCTCAGGTGGGATTTGGGACCAGCTTGGTTTTTTCGCGGTGAGGGCTGGCAGTTGACGTGGGATTGGGGGTGTTTATGGGCTGACGAAGGGCTATTACTGTTGCATGTGCGGACAAAAAGAGGTTCGGGTGTCAGCTATACAGATCATGCTGTTCGTACTTGAGCCCGTTGCGGAGTACAGGAAGAGGTGTTCTGTTCTGATGTCTAAGTCTGGGTTCAGTTCAATCGGCGGGCAACGTCAGAGACACTATACGCCCAAGCCGAAATCACAGAGGTGCTGGAGCGGATCTTTGGCATGATCGGTACGTCTAGCCGTCACTTGCTTGGAGTCTGTGACGGCTTCGGAACTATATATTTTTGGTGTGGTGCTTTTTGGCTGCAATCGGAGCTCATGTAAGGTTTCTATGTAGAAGTCGGGACGCAGTCTGGGGAGCAGTGCAACACGCGATATCTGAGAGTGCGCTACGGCTTTCACGGCATCATGTTGGATGACAACTTCCGGAACAAGCACGTAAACTTGAACCGGCAGTTCATCACCCCGGCGAATGTGGTGCAAATTTTTCGGGAGCACAACGTACCTCAGCGCTTCGATCTCCTCTCCCTGGACACCGACGGCTACGAGTGGCTGCTCTGGCTCAAACTGAATGAAGCCGGGTATGCCCCGCGGGTCGTGGTGCTGGAGTATGGGGAGAACCTGCCGTACACTGAAGATGTTATCATCCGGTACACGACCTTCCCCGTCCACCGGCTCTGCCTTTCACAGCTGCAACGATTTCCGAAGGTGTCTGGCGCGAGCATTACGAGTCTGCTCAAACTGGGGCGAGCTTGGGGCTACTGAGTCAGCAGCAGGTCAGCAGCAGTTGTGTATATAATATACATATATATATATATATATATGCTACCCCCCCCTCCAGGACCTACCTCGAAGCCTCTTCTTGTACTGTCTAGACGACGTCACGACTCCACTCCGAACATATACTGCGTAGTCTTCCCTGTCTACGACGACATTACACCGTTCGAACTAAGACAATACCACGAAGTATTGTCTACTGTCCTCTGTATGCTACGCTATTTCTGATGTTCCTTTTTTGAACCGTGATCTATAGGGCATACTAAAAGTTATTCTAAATAGTATCTTAAAAGGTATTCTAGAGGATATTCTACGAGGTATATTTGAGGATATTTGAGGTATTCTGAGGATATACTCCATAGGCGGTCTTCCGTAAGGATGTTATTCTATGGGTCATTCTATACGGTGTTCTAGAGGGTGCACCATAAGGTATTGTACAAAAGGCATTCTGCGGCCTATACGTAGGAAGGTATTCTATAGTGTATTTTATTTGAAATTCATTCAGGTGCATAGAGAGGGTATTTGATAAGGTAGTTGGGGTGGTCTTCTTGGTTCCTGATTTCTTCATAGGAATCCATTGCCCAAAAGCTGCAATTCAACTGGAAATTCTCAGATCTTGGGCTCCGCCTGGCTTTCCATATTTAAAGTCCGTACCTATAAGGTACCTTTTAAGGTTTTCTATAAAGGATTCTAAAGGGTATCCTAAATGGTACCGTATATGTATTCTATATGGCATACATAAGGTACACAGGATGTAGCAAATAAAGGTGTTCTTCTTCAAAGTATCCTACAGTGTATTACACATGGTATTCTATAATGTGTATGTAGGGCAAATCGGTGGAGTTGTATAAAAACATGCTATAAGGTAGTTTAGAAGTTGCATTCTATAGGATATGTGCAGCATGTGCTTCAGAAGAGTTTTGTTCTCTGTATGTATCCTTTGCCAAATAAGCATCGATTTTTCAAGGAATTTCTAGATCCTCTATTCCGCAATTCCTTGATATGAATCCGTTGCCAAATAAACCACATTCAACTGGGGAACTCTCAGATCTTGGGTGTACAAGGTGTATAGGGAATATAGAATATTTTATGAGGTACTATCGTATTCTACATGAGTTTATTTACCTTTTTGTAGAAAAGGTATTCTGTAAGGTATTCTACAGGCTGTTCTCCTTTATTCCTCATTTCTTTCATAAATGTCCCTTGCTCAATACGCTGCATAAAGCTTGGGTTCCTTCTGATTTACCCTAAGGCCCTAAGTAAATCCTGATCTATACGGTTTCTGTCGGATATCCCAAAGGGGATTCTCAAGAGCATATACAAGGTATAAGGGGAGTATCATTCATAGGGTTTTTATAAGACATTCTGTAAAGTTTTCCAGATGGTGTTCTAAAAGGCTTGTGTAGGGTTTTGGGGTATCCCAAGCTGTAACGTATAAAAGGTATTCTATATAGGGTGTATATATAGGACAGATTTCTATGCGGTGTTTTATGAGTTACAGGGTAGTCCATAAGGTATATACAAAGCATATACTGCATAAACTGTATATGGTACGACCTGAGTATTTTCTATGAAACTCTGGACGGGATAAGACACTAATCCATGCTGAACTTTAAAAAATCTTCTTTTACAAGTAGGTTCCTGGTTTCCATCATGGGAACCCGTTACTCAATAAGCTACAACTCAGCTGAACATTCGCAAATCTTCGGCTCCGACTGATGTTCCATATTTGACATATATCTGTAGAGTATTCGATAGGGTATTCTAATACGGGTGTCTACGAAGTATCCTATAAGATATTCTATGAGGTGCATATTGACAGGCTGTATAATACCTGGGGCGCGCCGACATGATCACAAGCATAGGGGGGAGTTAGGAGTACAGATGCGATCAAACTGTCAAGCACAGCAATCCGTTCGCTAATCTCCACCGCAGGTTTAGGGCCCTACGGTTTAGGGCGCCTGGGGTTTAGGGCTCTACGGTTTAGGGCCCCTTGGGTTTAGGGCCCTACGGTTTAGGGCGCCTCGTGGTTTAGGGCTCTGCGGAAAACTACTCTGTTGGCTGCTTGCCGTTCAATCTCCGCCAGACGAAATTCTCACGATTGACTTGTGAAAATTCTTCTGCGAGATGAAAAGAATGATGATATGACCCGGGTCGGCGAATGCTTGCAATGTTACTGCGGATGTTCAGCCGACTCCCGCTGGGATTGCGGCGCAAGAGACACTGAGCTTTGACCTGTAGGCCTGTAGCCCTCCGTTTTGAGAGTGCTATGGCCACGTCTTGGATGCAGCATCAAGAACCAAGGGTGGCATACTGAGGTCAACGATCGCTCCTCGGCATTAGCTGGATCAAGCAACACAGTAGAGCAGAAAAGGCTCGCTGAAGTGATGAAGAGCACTAGCTATCAAGAGATGCTAGAAGATTCCCAGGGCTCAGACTTGACACCGCGCAGACCAAGTGAAGGAGACAAGAAGCGCAAG